ATACAATAGGAAAACAGATGGCAAACTTTGAACTTCTGGACCAAATTTGTGTTTGCCTTTGTCTCCTTAACAGCCAAACTGTAAATTGTGGCCTATAAATATTCAACAGAGGGCCTCGTTATGAAAATCACCATGGCAGAGTCAACCCTTAATAATCGAATATGCACTGAAAAGTAAGCGGGCTGCAAATTTCTCTTCTCCCGCAGCCTTTCCAAGTTCCCGTTAGTAAGCAGGGCAGTTAGAGCCTGGAGGTGGAGTGACATTCCCATAGCACTGCTGCTTCTGCCCTCTCTTGCCCAAATGTCCGTTCTCTCACCCTCCCTGCCCAGACACCGCCTGTGATGCTGCCAGAGCGAGACCTCTGTTTTCAGAGTTGACCTCATGCTCTCTCTCTCCGGGGTGGGGGGTGGACAGTCCACGGCAGGTGAGCCCGGCAGTCCCACGGCTCAGCAGGAAGCGCTGCTGGAGCTCTCCTGTCTCTTAAGACCCCATACTTTGGTAACTGGTTTTTATCTTTACCTAAGTGGTTATAAAAAGAGCTCTGGTGGTGCACTGGTTAAGGCATTTGGCTGCTAACCAAAAGTTCAGTGGTTGGAAACCACCAGCCATTCCGCCAAAGAAAGATGGGGCAGTCTGCTTCCATGAAGATTTACAGCCTGGAAGCCCAGTGGGGGTCTCTGTGAGACAGAGTCATCTCCACGGCAGTGATTTGGTTTGGTTTTGGTGAGTATGTGGTGGTGGTAGTGTCGTTAAATCGATTCCTGTTCACGCTGGCCCCATGTGTTGGAGTAGAACCACTCCAGAGGGTCTGGCAGGCTGGGACCTTTTCGAAGCAGACCACCAGGCCTGCCTTCTGAGGGGTCTCTGGGTGCATTCAGACTTTGAAAGTAGATGAATGTATATTACCTTAAAATTATGAAGCAGCGTGCATGGTGAGTGTCTGTAAGGTGTATGGACACTTTAAAGAGTTAACAGTGAATACCTGTCCATCCACCACCCAGGGCCCTGGTGCATCACGAAGGAGTTCTTATCCTTTAAAGATTTAAGGGATACGGCAGTGCCCAGAGGAGACAGAAAAGCACTCCGTTAGCTTCCTCCCTCCTCCCTTACCGTCCCTCTTCTCCAAAGTAACTGCTCTTAACGGTTCATCTTCCTCCAGAATTTCACCATTCAGTTTTTATTTAGACAGGTAACATGCATGTTCAGAACTGACCTCAGAAGCACCAAGAAGCCTAGAGGAAGGTGCCAGCCTTCTGAGCACCCTGCTTCTGGAGTTCCCCAGCTGCCACCTCAGCTGAGCCTGCTTAACAGTGTTCTCTAAGGGTCATCAGAGCGTGCACAGCACAGCGGGCCGGGCTTGCCCCCACGCCTGTCCGTGCTGCGCCCAGGCGCGTGGTGGGAAGCGCAGAGGGCACTGCCTCTGAGCTCACACAGTCCTGCCTCCTCCTCTAACGGCCGCCCTGTTGCACCGTGTGGCTGAGCCGCCATTGCTTTAACTAGAGCTCAGTCAACAGGGCTAGTTGGGAAGTCCACTTCGAGTCATTCAAATTCATGACAACTTAAATGTTGTCTCTGATTTTTCCTGTCAGTCTGATTACTGTTCCTTAGTGGGTAGTGTCTTTTCCTCAGGTAGCTCTTGCAACCTCTCGGTCTTTGTGTTTTCCTGTTTTATTATGATACACTTCGGTGTGTGTTCCTTTTTCTTTTTTCTGGGCAGTGCTCACTGAGTATGACTGTGCATGCCTCTCATTACTTTTGGAAAAGTCTCAGCTCTTCACTGTGAGTGCCTCCTCACCTGTGTTCTCTTCTCTTCTCAGGCTTCCTTTGAACCTAGGCTGAATCCTCCATGGTTCTTAACTCCATTCATACTTTTCATCTCTTTGTGCCCCATTCCGGGTACTTTCTTCAGACTTACCTGATTCACAGACTCTCTTATTTGCCTAGTGGATTTAGTGAATGTCACTTCAGGCAGAATATTTTCATTTATAGACGTTTTATGGCTTTTTCTAAAGCGGGTATCTCAGTATGCCTCTCCCCGCTTTGGGTGGGCCCAAGCCTTGTGCTCCTGCCTCTGCCCTGTGTTGAGACCCATTCCCGTTGGTTCCTGAGATGGGTGCACATGTGTACATAAGCCCTAGATCCATTCCTGGAAGGGGACTAGCTGGGGCAAGCGTGAAATACATTTTTTATTTGAGTGGATATTCACAGATCGCTCCCAAAGTGGGATTGGTGCCCATATGAGGAGCAGGGAAGCACCCATTTCTCCAGGTCTCGTCACCACAGAGCCTATCACAGACTTTTGTCTTTGCCGGGCAGCTGGGTGATCAGTGGTCTGACCTTGTGGTTTTATTTCCTGATCTCTGGTAGCACTAGTGAGCTTGCTGAACATCTCAGTCGTGTTTAAGCGTCATTAGTGTTTCTTTTCTGCAAACTGTGGGAATCTTTCCCTCGTCTCTGTATCAGGTGGTCAGCTCTTACTGTGACTTTGAAGGGATCTGCTGGAAGAAGTTATCCCTCTTTGTCCCATTTTCCCCAGTTTATCATTGGCCTTGACTTTATGATACGAAGTGTGGAGAAAACTGTCACCACTGTCATACACAGTTAGCAGTATTTTCCTCTGGTGTGCATGTTTTAATGCTTAGAAAGGCCTGCGCTACTCTGAGAATGCCATCATTTATTTTGGCATAATGTGTGTGGTAGGATAAGGAGCTCTGGTGACACAGTGGCTAAGGCATTTGACTGCGAACCAGAAGGTTGGCAGTTTAAACCCTCCAGCCATTCCTCAGAAGGAAGAGTGGGCAATCTACTTCCATAAAGATTTACAAACTCAGAAACCCAAAGGGGGTCGCTATGAGTTGGAATCAATTCAATGGCAGTGAGTTTGGGTTTTTTTGGGGGGTAGGGAGTATGTGGTAGAGATCCAAGTTGAAATAATCATCATAGAGGATTTTGCCATTAATTGCAAGTAGGCTATTTCTCTAACTACATTCTTAAAATGAATGGTTGTTTCTATGGGTTTTAGAATATAGATCAGTATATGATTCTGAATGATTACTGAATTCTCTTGGATTGTTATCTTTCACTAATGATAATTTTGTCCACTTCTTTTCGTTTTTTCTCACATTTTTGTCTAATATTTTTCGGAACAGTGTGAAGTAACAGTGGTGATAGTCAACCACTGTTAAGAAATACACCACTCATTCCTAATGAAAACATGGCTAATTTCCTAAGATTTCCTCTCAGCATCCTGGAGACAATGTTTGGCTGGGTGTTCTCTGTGACAGTGGTCAGGTGAGCTGTGTTACATTGCCTAGTGAGATTCTGTGGGTCGGTGGCTGGGCACCCTGTTGGCTGACACGTGATTCCAGTCTCAGCACTGATGCTGATCTCTGGTTTCTCTTACTGTCCTCTCTCTTGCAGGGTTTGGTCAGTGGCATGCTAGCTTCCTGTCGGAGTGGGGTGCTGTCCTTGCTCCCCGTGCTGGGGGGCGGTTTGCACAGTGTTGGCGTGCGGTTCCTTGATAGCTTCTCTGTCTGTTCTTTGTTGTTTGGATTTTCTGCCTCCTAGAAAGCCATTTATTTCATCTAAGCTTTCAAATTTGGAGATTTAAAATACTCGGGAGAAAGGAAATGGGGTCCTTATAGATTGCCTTTGTTTTTCAGGCCAGTTTTACCAACGCTTCAGAGCTGTATTCTTTCTCTTTGTAAGGGATGATCTTCATCTAATGTTTTTTGCCCTGATGGCCACCTTTTCTGATAGTGAAATGGTAGCCTCTGTTCCTTGTCATTCCCATGTAGCAAATACTGTTTTACTTCACAATCCTCTTGAAATTCTGCCTGTTAATAGGTGGGCTTGTCCTGTGTGCAGCTATCAACACTATAGACACGTTAGGACTTAACTCTGCCGTCACACGCTGTATCTCTGAGTGTTTCCGACCTCGCTAGAGGACCTGGGGGTTGGCATTGCTGGTCCTCACTGTATTCTGTTTCAACTCTTTGTGAAATGCTTTAAGAATATCCATAGGCAGCTCATTTTGTGTCCCTTGTGTTAATTTAAAATAGTAACTTCCCCTCAGAACATACTAGATTTGTGTGTGCATGCTCACACAACAAGGGAATCCAGGACTTAGGCTGTATTTCAGATTTTAGAGCAAGTTTAATGAATGACCACTGTTGGCTCAGCTCCTCTACTAAATGAGGTCTTTTCAGGGGAATGGTTGTCTCTCCCTTTTTGACCCGCGGCGTAGGGTTGCTGAATTCATCTGTAGTTAGTTTCCCCACGTTCTACTTACGTTCTTGTGGCTTCTTTTTAGAAACTAAGCGTGTTGGTTTTTCTGATGCCTGGGAGAGTTCTGTGGCTGGTGATTCATCCTTAGGTGGCAATTCAGCATATACTTGTGTATAAAAAACAGGTTTTGAACAACATTCGGAATATTACAAGCAAGTAATTATTTCAAGAATTTAAGTAGCTGCCAAGTGTCCACATAATCTCAGGACCTTTGTCACACTTCCCTCTCCCGATTTCAACAAGATGGTGAAGTTAAAGACCTAAAAAGTAAGGGTTTGAATTATAGCTGAGTATAGCTGGTTTACCTTGTGCCCAGAATAGAATTCACTGTTGGCAAAATTCTGGTGCTCAGCAGAAAACTGAGCTTTGAGCCTGCTTCTTAGGCCCGCCCCCATGCGTGTCACAGTGCCAGTCAGAGGCCGGCTTTCTCCAGGCGGGTCATCTGCCCTGGAGCAGATACAGGAGCATCAGGGCAGCTGAGGTCCTGGGTGTGTCTTGTTCCACAGGCCTTTAAGTAGGTTCAGCTTCTCTCAACCGGCTCAGCGCGGTTGCATCGTAGCCCAGGGAAGAAGGTGATGAGGAGGTGCAAGATGGCTGCTAACAAAGGGGGCTGTCTTCTGCTTTCTTAGGAATGCTGTGCACAGACTGGCACCCCTGAGTGGGAAACTGCACCTGCCAGCTCTAATGCATGGCCCTTCTCTCCGCTCACCTAGGGTGAGGATCCATGACCTCCGCACTGACAAAATTCCTCTGTCACTCTCTGCTCACCAACTCGGAGTCTCCTCAGTCCAGATGGATGACTGGAAGATTGTCAGCGGCGGCGAGGAAGGCCTTGTTACCGTGTGGGACTATCGTATGAACCAAAAGCTGTGGGAGGTACATTCCCGGTAAGGTCCTTCCCCGTGAACAGAAGCAGCGCAGGCACACTGGGCACCCACTGCTTCCCATGGCCGACCACATTAATCCTCCTGTTCCTGCCCATTGTCACATCTGTTTTTCAGATGAGGAAGCTGGGGCTCAGAGAAACGGCCAGCTAGTCACTGGTGATGCCGTTTCTCTGAGAACAGAACTAACTCCTCCCCGACGCTGTTCTGGTTAGTTTTTGCATTCCCCCATAATTCAGGTGGAAAGGATAACTCAGAAATGAAGGAAGCCAGCTAAAGCCCACAGTGGGACTCCCTGAGATCCAGGGGGCAGCGGCAGGCGCCCGGGAGAGTCGGCCCGGCCCACTGTCCTCAACGCCTGAGTCATGACGAGCACACTGAGCAGTGTATGTTCACTTCTTGGACTTAAACTGTTTGGAAGGGCACTTTAGGCCTGAATACTTTCAGCCTTAACTTTTTTGATATTACAGTTAAAGTCATCCTTAGTTAATAGCTGTCAGCTATTATTGCAACCACAGGCTGATGGCTTCAGGGACACAGGCATGCCCAGGGTTACTTTAATGTTACATAAATTTGCCCTCACTCTGAAATGACTGAGCCATCCCCTACTTTCAACAGACTCTTCACCACAGTCACCGTCCCTTAGTGCACTGGACCTGCAGCTTTTAAATCTTCGAAAAGGCTTGGAGCCTTTACTTTCACTAAAACCAAACTCGCTGCCCTTGAGTTGATTCTGACTCACAGCAGCAACTCCATAGCGTTTCCAACTCTGTCGGTCGTTATGGCAACAGACTGGCTCATCTTCTGCAGAGTGGCTGGTGGGTTTGAACCATTGAACTTTTGATTAGCAGCCAAATGCCTTAACCACTGCCCACTTGAACACCTTTTTCTTGTTCTAAAAGCTAAATAAGAACCACATACATCTGTTCCAAATGACCTCCACATTGTTGAAGAGACTGTTAGGACAGGATAGCCTGGACCTGCCCGGAAAGAGAAGGATATGCTAAATGCTAACAGAGCCGAATGGGGGATCTTTCCCTCCAGGCTGCCATCACAGGCAGGCAGCCTTGGCCGGTGCTGACCGGAGCAACTTACCTTCCCTCGGCCAAGGAGCAGGTCTCTCTCCACCCCTCCTACATACACCTGGAACCAAGGGGAAACAGTGGGTTTCTTCTTCGGAGGGCACTGTTGGCCAGTGCTGCGGCCAGCCGCTCTTCTCAGCTGGACCTCAGGGTCTAGAGCCTCCTGTGAGGGCCGCTCTGCCTGGCTGTGTCTCACTGTGCACCTTCCTCACTCAGCAGATACTCTGGTAGTGTAATGCCTAGGGCATTTGACTGCTAACCAGGTTTGCAGTTCAAACCCACCAGCCACTCCTCGGAAGACTGGGCAATCTACTTCCGTAGTGATGTTGTTGTTGTTATGTGCCGTCGAGTCGGCCCCGACTCATAGCGACCCCTCCTTGGGTTTCCGAGGCAGTATCGCTACGGAAGTAGGATTGCCCAACCTTCCTTCCGAGGAGTGGCTGGTGATACTGCCTCAGAAACCCAAGGAGGGGTGGCTGTGAGCAGCCTTCCTAGGCCTGCCTTCTATGCAGTGAGCTTGGTTTGGGCTTTTGGCTGGTTTCTGGGGTGATGCACGGAGTTACCACCAGGTGGCGCCAGAAGGCAATTAACTCTCCAGTGTTGGTTCCCCCTGCTATGTGAAAGTGGTGGTTCCTGGGAAACCTTTCATGTGCTGAAAATGGTGTGGAGAAGCAGCAGCTACGTTATATGGGAAACACTGCGTATTCCCTGACCCAAAAAATAACCTACAAAATCATACCAGATAATGCACACACACGGTTCCCAGCTGTGGCAGCTTGATGCCACGTGTCGCTCCCAGACAAGGAGCAGGGCAATGACGCGCTCTCTCACTGCTGAGGGTGCCTGCTGCCTTTTTGAAAAACACACGCGAATTTTACATCATTTTTTGTAGAAGTCAGCATCCTCTTTGGGTTTCTTTGGTTGGCGAGAACAGGTACAAATGCAGGTCTTTTGTAAAAGCAGACTGGGTTAAAGCGCCGGCTCAGCCCCCGGAGCTGCCTGGGCCCGCCCCAGCGTCGGCCTCCCTCCACACCTACAGCTGCACACCCGCGCCGGCCGCAGCGTCTCCCTCAGGAGGCCAGTCTGCACCACACAGAGGCTACTAAGGCAAAGGCCTGGCTTCTCTCTGCACCAGGCTGCCCTCCCGTTTCCTCTTCCGCGCTCCGGCCCAGTCGCATCACTGTCCTCCCCCATCTTTTCAGCGCGCCCTCCCTTTGCCCTCCTCTCCTTCCGGTGGGGGTTCCGTTAGCCACCCTCTCTGTTGCTGTAGAAACGCTGCCCGTTGGTAGAGGGGACGGAGCTGACCGGCCTCGGTCATGCGGAGCCTCCTTGATGGCAGGCACCTGTCTGAGCTGCAGCTCTGGCTCCAGGCTGTGAACAGAGCAGGATGCACAGGGCGAGGGTCACTGAGAACGTCACCACGTGGATTTAGTCTTCAGGGCCATGGTTTCCCAAAGTGCTGTCACTTACAGCTCTGAGTTCAGCACTGCAGGGGCTTTTACTGACCACTGACGCCCCCTGCAGGCGGAGACTCTGGCTCTGAGAGCTGCAGTGACTTGGCCAAAGCCCTCCAGCCCGCGAGGCAGAGGCGGGTGTCCTGCCCCACGTGGTGCCGAGTTGGCTCGAGTGTGTCTTCTATAAGACACACCCAGAGGCTGGGGCATCGGCCGCAGCATCCTGCCTTTCGTAGGTTAGGTGCCAGGGGAGGTCTCAGGCCAGGCAGGTCTGAGATGCCGTCCCTGTGGCCCCCACTCCCTGGGACTGCATCAGATGCCTTCCATGTCAGTGGGACCCACCTTTGTGTTCCAGGCACCCTGTTCGTCACATAGCCTTCAACAGCCACAGCCTCATCACAGCCAACGTGCCCTACGAGAGGGTGGTGCGCAACGCTGACCTGGACAGCTTCACCACACACAGGAGGTCAGCTGGCTGCTTGGGGTGGGGCTGGGTTTGCAGTGTCTAGAGAAAACAAGCCTACTGGGTTTTTTCCATAGCCAGCTCCATGCCACAGAGTCCCTGGCGGGACATAGCTTCAGGCATGGCGACTCCCCCTGTAGGAAGTTGGGAACGTGTCTGACGCCACGGGGGTGAGATCCATGTGGGATCCCTGTTTGAAGCCCTACTCCCACAGCTGCTCACAGCTTCTGCAGGACAGCTTTGTGGGAGGTACCACTCCTGTCTGGATTTGACAGAGGGAGGGGGCTGCATCTGAGGGGCGATGAGCCCTCCTTGGGGCTGACGTTCTCTCTTCGAGGGGCCCCCCCAATGTCCCCTCCCTGCACCTCACACGCTCCATCAGACTTGTCCCTTTGCCTGTCTTCCCTCGTTCCTCGAGTCCTGACACTTTGGAGTCTGACACGTTGGGGGCGCACAGCACACATTTGTTGAAGTGAGTTGCCATCCTGGCTGAAGGGTAGCCGTGGCCGGTGTCCTCTCTGCCATGTCCTCTCTGCTCTCTCCAGGCACCGGGGGCTGATCCATGCCTACGAGTTTGCAGTGAACCAGCTGGCCTTCCAGAGCTCCCTGCCTATCTGCCGCTCAGCCTACGACACCATGGCCAGCTACAACTATGACCTGGCACTCACTTTCCCCTATGATAGTGTGAGGGAGTGACCTCAGGCAGCAGCAGGGAGGAGAGCCAGTTTCGTGAAGTCTGGGCACTGGGCTTAAGTGTTGGGGGGAAGGAAGCAGCCCCGAGGTGCACTGGGGTGACACCACTTCTTCCTGCCTCGTTCATCCCCAGTGCCAGGCCCTTCTTCTCTAGTCGGCGCTGAAGGTGGGATCTTCACCGTGTCTCTTCTTAACTCTGTGCTCTCTGCACCCCCATTTCTGCTCACAGATGACTTCAGATGTCTGTCTCCTTCCTCCCACACCCCCACATGGGACATCTTCTCCCGGGGCGGTCTTAGGGAATGACAGGAACACCATCCCACACAAGCCAGTGCTCACTCCCAGGTGCCCTGTAGGTCTCCCATGTCATCCTCAGATATGGCAGACTCATCCTCGCCCTGCTGGCCCGTGGATGGGCTGCGCCTGCAGGACCCCAGCCTCACCCTGTCTGATCATTGGCTCTCAGCACAGCTCTTCAGTCATGGTGGCCTCTCGGCCCCCCACCCCCGGTGAATCTGCCAGAGCAGTACTCTTTCTTTACAGCATTTCCTATGGTTCATAATTATAAATTTATACGGTTACGTCACCAATGACTCCTTCACTCTTGTGTGTCTGTAAGATGCGATACTTTTCAAATACTCACTGAGTAATCCTCCATCCTCCACAAGGAAGGGACAGTGATTCTGCAGTAGAGGGCGAGTTACAGGATAGACCATTACCTTCAACCACTCAGATAGAGCAGGGCGACACGAGAGGACGGCTCACCTTGATAACCAGCCTCCACCTCCTGAGCACAAGCCCAGTCCTCACGTGACTGCTATGAAGCTGTGGCTGCCGCTTCATCTCACAGCCCTTCAGAGTCCCAAAGCAGAAACCCAGGGACCACCACAACCAACCCATCCTCAGAGTGGGTGGGCAACAGATCGTTCAAAACCTCGGGGATCCGGAGGCCTTGCCTCTGTACGTAAGTAACAAGCATGGGGCCCTAGATGTTTAGGATGTAGTCCCTTCTCAAATACCTGTAGACCATTCACAGGTAACCAGGTAGAAAGGCTCAGATGTCACAGATGCTGAAGCCATGCAGCCAAACCCCGTGACCCCCAACCCCGTAAAGTCAGAAATCAACACAAAGCCAACCCCAACAGGAAGCATTCACCTGCAAATGCAAAACGTGTCTGAAGTAAATTGGTCTTAAAAAGGGAGAAGAGACGAACGGTGAACAGCCCCCAACCCCAGTGACTGTGAGCGGACAGACGCCTGAGTATCAAGACTTGGGTTTGGCCAGAACGAGATGAGAGAGCAGTTACATCCTTAACAGGATCTAAGACAAAAGACCTGAGCCGTCCCTCAGAAAGCTGAAGACAGCCAAGGATAAGGCCACATACCAGTGACAGAAAATGATAACTAAAAAAGATGCAAGGGACCATCAGAAACAAAGACAACTAGGGATACGGAATAAGGGCTTTCAGTGTGGGCATCGCTTGCCCACCCGGATCCAAGAGAAAAGCTAAGCTGGGCCACGCTGGCTGGTACTCAGAGGCCCAGAACTGGGACTTGGGAAAATCTCAGAATGGTTTTCAGGTGGCTTGAGCTATAAAAAGGGCCACTTACCCAACCAGGAGGAGGAGCTCTGGTGGCACAGTGCCTAAGGCATTTGACTGCTAACCAGAAGGTTGGTGGTTCAAACCCACCAGCCACTCTGCAGAAGGAAGACAGGGCAATCTACTTCTGTAAAGATCAACCACCTTGGAAACTCAACGAGGGTCGCTCGGAGTTAGAATTGACTTTTATCGTGGATTTGGTTTTTTGGTGTCCAACTAGAAAGGAAAACAGGGCAGATGGAGAGCCGCCCAGGTAAAATGCCATCTCAGCACACAGAACACGCTTTATCTCAGACAGCCTTCCTGCGACAGTCGGCTGGTCTGGACAGGCTTCAGTTACCACTCAGCCAAAGGAGTTCGAATATGAAGCCGTCTTCAGTGAGCAAATGGGACACTGTGCTTCCTCTCACTGTCCTGGTGGCCTGACCCACTCGTGACCTCGTTTCGTAAAGCTGTCATCCAGCCTCTGCACTCACTGTCACAGCCCTGCCCCTGGACTGCTGACTGACACGGTTTTGTCTTCTCAAGAAGCAGCCCCTTGCCACCTCGAGCTCACATTTCCTAGCTCTGTGGCAATTTCAGATGATTGAAGGACTTACAAGAAGGTAGGCCCAGGAACCTTGACCAAAATTAACACACACCAGAATCTCAAACTGTTGTTACTCACTGCTAACAGCTGGACCCTGTAAAAATGTTACCAGCACAGGCTTTTTCCCAGCCAGATTAGAACACATCTGCCATTCGTGACAGCTTGCTGGGGTTCTGCGGAGGACCACGTGTTGGACCCAAACTTGGAGCTTCAAGCCCGCCAGCCCAAACCAGTGTTTGCTGCTATTCCCTTGGCATCCAGGGACCACGTACCCTGATGGGAAAGGACACCCATTCCCTCAGAACCAGTGTTTACCCCATACTTAGAGATGGTCCGTGTACATCCCCACCTCCCGATAGCCAGCTTACCTTCAAACCTGCTGGCTGACAGAGCATCTTCGCAAGTTGTAACAGCATTTTCAGCAGCTCTGTCTTCCCTCCTCCAGCTCTCCTGCGTCTCATACCCTTCCACCCACAATCTCTCCTTAAGACAGAACAGATTCAGACATGCCACTGGGGGAGCTGGAAGGAGACCCCCGAGAGCTCATGTCTTACCTTACAGTGTCGTGTGACTTTTGCTTTTGCCTTTATGACATATTCTTGTTCTAACATTGAAACTCTCTAATTTATATATTGTTCCACTTGCTCTGAACACGTGTGCATGGGGTGCCATGCTAAGCCCCTGGGACACCTCTGTGCTAGCCCATGCCACCCACCCTGGTCACATCAGGTGATATTTTGCTAAATCTCACCTTGTGCGATTACCTGCCTGACAGTCCACAGCAGAATCGTTTTTTCCAGAACCTCCACTACAGAAGTTCTCAGCCCAGAATCCAAGAACCCCACAAGATTCCAAATGAGATTGTGCATGGGGCATTTTCTGGGCAGAAGGATGGTGTCGCTCATCTCAGCATCTTGAAGGGAGAATTGGGCCAGGAGAATTCCGTCTTCACCCCCAAAGTGTGTGTTCAGTCCAGGCCCCGGCTGCCCTGGGAGCAGCTGTTGCCCAGGGAACAGCGAGTCTGCAAAGTTCCTCTGGGGAAAACATGGCTTGGCCCTAGTAGACATCCCACCCTGCCTTACTGCTTCGGTCTCAGCTGATAAGAGGGAAAACAACTACCCTAGGACTGGAACTGCTAGTCCTTTGAAGGGAAAGCTGACAGCCCAAGGCGAAGGCCTCGGCCCCAGCGTCCCCCGGAGGGCAGACCAGCTGCCGGCCGTCGGCTGCGGCTCCCGGTGGCCTCGCGTACCCCAGGCTGCAGTGTGCTTGCGTAGGGCTTCCAGGGGCTGACAGGGCGGGGGGGCATAGGTCTCCAGGCCTGCCTATGAGTGTGTCTGCGTGCACTTGAACTGCCAGCCTCAGCCAGCTTCCAGGCACTTGACTTGAGTGCCACCCAGGGATGCCCCAGGACAACAGGAGGCCCCAGATGAAGGGGTGGCCTTTCCCACGGTGCGTGTGAGGTCGCACACACCAGCTGCTGACTTGCTCGCTGTATGAAAATGCCTCTCACCTGCTGAAGACCCAGCTCCCAGGTCCTCTTGACAGAGCTGCCTGGGGGCCTGCTGTTGTGGCAAGATCGTGACTGGGTTTGGACAGAGGCCGTAGCCTTCCTGACTCGGGACTTCTGGGTAGCATCTGCAGCAGCAGAGAGCTGATGGCGCTGGCTGGCCCCAGCCACGGTGCCGGGAGCCCCAGCCCTGCCGGCTTCCCACTGCACGGCCAGGCCAGATGGTTACCTGGCTGCTGCCGCGGGGCCTGCAGCGATTTGGACGGGATGTGCCTCCACCGCGGGATGGCAGACCCGCTCTCGCTGGGCTGCAGCAGGTGCCATGTGGGCCGTGCACTCAGCCTCTGCTGTGGAGTGTGGCCTTCCAGCAGTAGCCACACACCGGCCATGCACCAGGACCTTCTCTCCTGTGGAGGGAGGGAGAACCCCTGCTTCCAGAGCCAAGCCCGAATCGTCAACTCTTCCCCTGCCCAGTGCTGAGCCACTCACCCCATGGTGGTTCTGTAAGGTGGAGAGGGCTCCCCACACATCCCTGAGCTGACTGCCTGCACTGCAGCCGTTCTGGGGTGCTGACACCCTAAAGCCCTGAGCTAAGCCTTCGCTGCCCACGAGCAGTCCTCCCCGATGCCGAGCTCCTCCTCCACCAGACCCAGCAGCATTTGCTCCCAAATCCTTGGAAGCACGGAGAGGCACCGGCTCAACTCATGGAGGTGCAGTGGGAACCCCAGCCCCTCCGCGGGATGCAAGGCTTCCCAAGGTCACCACGTGGGCGGACAGCCTGCAAGGCAGGTGTTTGCTGAGGCCTCGCCAAGACAGCTTGTATTTTTAACTCTCCATCAGCCTAGCAACGCCACACTGGGCTGTTCCCAGCATGGCGGAGCAGAGCTTCAGCCTCGTTAGTGGCCGGCAGGTAGAGACAGGCTCAACCGGTCAGCAAAGCACAGAAAGAACGTCCCAGACCCTTGGACCAGAAAATAATGGAATTATTTTGCTAAAGCCTAGGAGTAATTTGTTCCCTAAAGAGGATGCTTGGCCCAACCCGGAAGCTCTCCTAACCATACTCTGTCCCCTTACCCGTGGTTCACATTTAACGGGGCTGGGGAATGGCCACCTGAGCTGCATGTGTTCAATGTCCATCACACAGCCCTTTTGTTAACCTACCCAATTAATGCGATTGTGTCAAACCGCCATATTCTTTAATAGCCAAAAGCCGAGCTCTGGCCATTTTTCCCCTTGGTAATATGGCAATGTCAGACTAAAACCCTGTTTGAGCAGCTTCTTGGCAGATGGGTGGAAGGATATGGGGGAAGAGGCTGAGCTCACCAGAACACTCCAGCTTCCTTCAAATGTTTGTCTCCATACTTATCTCGGTCTGTTTCCTCGCAGTCTCCAGTGTCGTTTCTGATAGAAAGCAGGTTCCCAACAAAAGCACTTAAACACATTGTTCACTCTGTCCCCTGCTGGTTTTAGGACACATGTCAGAGCACACCCCTCACCTGCTCCGGGTGGGGCATCCTGACGCGCCGCAGCCACTGCTGCTCCCGGGCCCCGCCGGTCCAGGCACCCCCCCAAGCCCAGCAGAAGCTGCGTCCTAGCCTCCTGCCGGGTCCTGATGTGCAGCTGGCCCTGTGCAGAGGCAGGACCACACTGAGACCCCAGCCGGGAGCAGCAGCCTCCCTGCCACTAACCGAGACAGCAACCTGCCGGATGGGGGGCCGTGTCCCCTGTCCAGAAGGGCTTCACCGACCACTCCCTGAATGACCTGGACGCAGGGAAACCTCCCCTTCAGTACAGGCCAGGCAGGCCAGCTCTGGGAATTCTCGGTCTCAGGTAGAAATGAGTGCTCATGCTGCCGACTGGACAGTACGTCAGTGATTCTCAACCAGTTAGCTTGCTTTTCAGCAGCGTGGACTAAGCCCATAGTGAATAAATCACATTTTAATTGGCTCTTTCAGTAAAGCTATGGCCTGAGCTGTCAAAGCCAGTAGGCTGGCCCTCAGTGTCTGAGCGAGTTTGACAGGTGCCTGTAGCTGCCACATTTCCCAAACTGGAACTCGGGACCCTGGAGCCAAGGTGCCATTACTTACAACATTTAACATTAAACTGCTTAGAAGCTCTGGTGGTGTAATGCCTAAGGCACCTGACTGCTAACCAGAAGGCTGGTGGTTCTAAACCCAGCCTCAGAAGGAAAGTTGGGCAATCCATTTCCACCTTAGAAACCCAAGGAGGGCTCACTATGAGTCAGGTTCTACTTGACAGCAATGAGGTTTTTTGTTGAAAACAACAAAACTGAACCAAATTGGGGGAGTGTCCTGGGAAATGTGGTCCCATGGTGGCCGTGCCCACAACCCTGCTGCTTGGTGACACTGTGGTCTCGGTGGACTCAGGAAAGGGCAGGTTGGGGGGGAGGGCAGCACCACTGCGTGAGGGGCTTTCTGCGCCACCTGATAAAAAAGGCTACCAGTCGTCAAGTCCCCCCGCCTCACTGTCTCGGCCAGTTCCTCGATGCGGTGCCCCCACCCCGCCAGCCCCAGAGCAGCAAGGGGCTCACACTCCCACCTCCCAGGGCACCAGCTGCACTCCGATTCGCTTCTTGGGTTCGTCTCTCCCACTACCTGCTGGCCCGTGAGGGTGGGAACCAGGCCTCCCTCCCCATCGCCCTGACCCACTGCTCTGAACAGCAAACATTGGCAGAAAGGACACTCGTCTTAAGGAGTAGAGCTCCAGAGGTGGCATTAGAGTGACCTCTCGTGGACTGGGAGACAGTAAACCTGCCTCTAATCGTCCATCTCCTGGGCGACGGGAGAGGAGACCAAGGTGCACCTGGTCCAGCCCCGGCAGGCTCCCAAGCCACGTGCTCACCAACGAGGAGACCCTCTGAGCCGCCTCATCTGTGCAGCAAATGCAACAAGACCCACCTCAGGTTGTGCGTGTCAAGCAGGTGACAGATAAGGGGTCGCCAGCCTCCAGGATCCCTCTGCTGTCCACGAGTGTTTCCCTCAGCTCACCTCGCTGCTTTGTGTGGTTTTTTTACATTTCAAACTTCTCTACCTCACCCCGAGTGCACAGCCCGACTGTCAGCGAAGGTGTATGTGTGTGGCTGTGACGCTGCACAGGTTTCGGCAGCCTCCAGACCCACACAGACCAGGAGGAAGGGCCTGGCGGTCCATTTCTGAAAATCGGCCAGTGAAAACCCTGTGGATCCCAGCGGCCCGATCCAGTCGGTCACAGGGATGGCGGGCGCAAGACCGAGCAGCGTTCACGAGCCGGGGGCCGATGCCACAGCAGCTGACAGCAGAGCAACACCGACTTGACAAGTTACCTTTGCCATTGAGGCTGTGGGTGGGGACGGCAGCGCCCACAGGCCCTGCTGTAGCCATCCCGCCAGAAAGAGTTCCCGAGACTCGGCAGCGCAGACCCCACCGTTAGGAGCCAGGGTCTGGAGCGGGCCAGAGGCTTGGAGTCCCGGCACCCATGCCACCGTGACAGTTCGCAAATCGCTGCCCGAGGCCAGAGCAAGCTCAATGCACCCCCTCCTTCCTCCTGAACACACGGTCAGAGGAAGCCCAGTGCCCAAGCCGGCCTTCCAGAAGGTCCTCCGTCTGCGGGCCCGGGTGCAGCCCTATTTTCCTTGCTGGGATTAAGGCAGATGAAGCCAGCATTTATGCACGAAAACAGCAGCCACTCCTAAATATCAGCCTAAAATAAACCCAAACACCAGAGATAAAGGGGGGGGGGCACACCATCTTCCCAGCAGCCACTGCCGGCTGTGTACACATCTGTGCTGCCGGGTGACCAGGCTTCTCAGCAGGCGGAGGAAGGGGCGGACGCTGTGTTCTTTAACAAACTCAGGTTTTATTAGAGGTAAAAACAGCAGGGGCCCACCCACCACACCCCACAGGACCAGGACCCGAGCCAGCGAGCGGACAGCAGGAGTGAGTTTACCGGCGCTGCAGCAGAAGGCCGCCCGCTGGCCCCCGGCCACGGCTGCCAAGGCCCCGCGGGGAGCGCCCCCGTCGTTGAGCGCAGTGACTGGCAGCAGCGGTGGTCAGTGGCAAAGGGCGATGGTCTCCATATTGAGGAAGCGGACGTGCATCTTGGTCTCTATGTCGATCCCCTGCCAGATCTGGAACAGGGCGGAGTGGCATCAGGCCATCGGCCCAGGGCCCTAGCCACTGCCACCCCCACCGTCCCCAGGACTGAGTGGCTGAGAACTTCCAGGCCGCCACGTGCCGAGGGCTCTGTTTCAAGACTGAGCTAGGCAAGGCAGAAACCCCTCTATCCAGGTTTTGTTTCCAGTTAACCTGGAGCTGACACTGGGTTCTTTCTGAAGCCATCACAGCGAGTTATTAATACTGAATCCGAGTGGAGCTGGAGAAGTCACCCGACTGCTGTCCCCCTACACTCTAAAGGCTTTGTGGTGGTCATGCAGACCAGCTGGCCTCTGTGTTATCTGTAAAGTGGGGGCACCACCACCTGTGTGGCCCATGCGCCCAACACTGAGGGTTCGGGGAGGGCTGTGTACAAAAGGTTCCACTAGGCTAGCATCGTTAACGAAAAGGTCACGGGAGTCTGGTCTTCAGAACCTTCCTGGGATGGACAGTCGCCTGTGTTCTAGACACATCCACGGCCACATACCTGGTCCTGATGCGGCTGGCATAACCTGCCCCAGCCAGGGCCTACCACCCTCCAGGCTACACGACTCCTGTCCACATCACAGGGTACCTCATTCCCTTGACTGTGCTTTTGCCCGTTTCTGGGCAACACAAGGCCCCAGACACTGCGGAGGGCAGGAGCAGGAACGAGCCAAGTTGTAGGTGGTAACTTCACGGTCCGCACTTAGGTAAGATCTTCAAATGCCCCAGCTGTCACTTGGCGTCTCTGGGGACAGCCATGAGATGAACTGAGGGAGTCGGAACCTCGTCAGCATCCAAGTGACAAGGAGCCCTCCGGGCACCTTCCTGCCGTTGGCTGCCCACGGCCCCCCGGCAGCTCTGCTTCGGTCAGTGGGGGCAGCACATGCCCAGAGCAGTTTCTGCTGAGTGCCGGGGGGGCAACACAGCCACCACAGGAGCTGGGTGGGGGGTGGGCGCTCCAGAGAAGGGGCAAGGCCAAAGAGGCAGGACAAGCTTCGGGCACTGGCCAGCCTTCCACGTAAAGCAGCTGGTCTCAGAGGCAGAAACGCCACCTGTTCTACCCTTGGGCTTAAGAAATTCTTTTGCGCTCTACCCCCTCCAGTCTCCTGTCCCCAACTCTCTTTCCCTGTGTCACCTTCCCAGATGAACAGGCCCCACACCAGCCGGAGACCCCGTGCGGTACACTCCCTGCTGCTGCTTCTCCCTGTCCCCGCCCAGCCCTGGAGTGGGGGCACCTGTGTGGGGTGAGTGAGGCAGCAGTCCCAGTCCAGGGGCACAGGGCTTCTGCTCCCCTCACCCCCCACCACTCCTCCATCTGTTTGCTGGTGACCAGCCAGTGCTGGCCAATCGGAGGAAAGCCCGACCTGAGCCATCTGGCTTCGGCTCTGCAGGGCTGTGCCCAGCTGAAGTCCCCCAATGAGCCGTGAGCACAGGCCTGCCCGGCCCCCTCCACGGCCGCTTAGTGTGCCCTGGTGTCCCGAGTGCCTTCACTGGACCGGGACCCACACTCAGTCTTGCTCTTCTGTGAGAATAGCTTCTCCCCAACTTGTGTGCCTTGATCAAGTCCTGACGAGGGCTTGGGGATACTGTTCATGGGATGGTCAGCCCCAAGTGCCTGGCAGAGTGGACTCATCCTTACACAGTGGCGGGCAGTGACTCCATTCCCAAATTTGAGGGGTTTGTAACATCAGAGGCCCAGACAGATGGTAGAGCGTGCTGCCATTCTGAAAGTGGACATCCACACCTGGGGACACTGAACTATCCACAAGGCACAGGGGCTGAGAGGAGCAGGGGCCGCTCCCGTCAGTGTGGGCGGGAAGAATTCTTGTCCCGTCCACAGAAAATGGCCAGAGGCAACGCTGACCATCCCCCGGGGCTGCTCCCGACCGGCCCAGGGTGTGGGAAAGAGTGGTTTTCACTGCATACCGTTTGTCCTGCTTCAGCTGTTCTGGCCATGGGTAGCTATTACCCTTAAAGTAAAAATAACTACAGCCAGTTTAAACTATCTCAAAAGCCACTCTGAGGCTCTGGCCTCTTCCTGCCGATACGTGGGTCACACAGGCAGCCTGCTACTGCTACCTAAGAGCCACGTGTCCTAACCAGACTCCCCCGCAGCCCTGCCCCACCCCTGCCCGCTCCTCAGCACGCACCTTCAGGAAGTCCTCAAAGGTGATCCCCTCGTACACCTGGTCAGGCTCCTGGGGACGAGAACACAGGGCAGGAGTGAGCGGCCCCAGGCCCGCAGGGGCCTTAGCCAGCCCCCCCCACCCAGACCAAGCGGCTGGGACAACGCAGGCAGCACCAGGAGAAGACAAAGGTGGTTCTGGACCGTTTGCCACCGGCACACCCCTGACAGTCGGCTAGAACCCCACTGCGCCCCCAGCGTCAATGCCCAGCCACCAGCATGGAAAGGGAAGGCCAAGGATGATCGGGGAGGGACAGAGGTCCCCTTCCCCACACCAACGGTGTCCGGCGGCCCACCACAAAAAGCCCCCTGCCATTTCCATCCTGCCTTGGCCCCCTGCAGTGGTGAGACCTGCCGTTGGCTGGCTCCTGCTCGCGGCACCCCACGGGTGTCAAGAGGGGCACTGGGCCCCACAGGGCTTTCAGTGGCTGAGTTCTCTGCCCCTCTGAGTGGACATGAACCAACCTGCTCAGCAGTGGGGCTCTCACCACCTGCCCTTCCCACAAACTCTTGATAAGCACCAGTTCCAGGCTAACCTAAGCTCCCAGGGTCAGGGTAAGGGGCAAAGGATAAAGGGGCTGGCCAGGCTGCCCACCCCTCGCAGCCCTGTGAGTCATCACGATAAGGGCTGGAGTGTGGACACAAGGTGGGCTCCGCCTCACTCGGGAGCCCCGCCCTGCCCTGTCTGCTCAGCAGTGCCAGTCTCCCTCTGCGTCTCTCCTGCTTTGGTACGTGGGGAGCCCATGTGACCATAAGAGGGGCTCCTGTCCTTTGAACTGCTACCTACCACCAGGCTCAGGCACAACCGAGTCTTTGAGAACGTCAGCCCCACAGCACCCTCTGGGACAGTAAGAACACAGCTGGTGTCCTGAGCGTCTGGCAGTAGAAGCCTGTCTCAGGACAGTTTGACCTTCTGTGCTGTTGACAACCGTGCGGCCCTAAAGAAAAGGTCAATGCCGACGTGGAAATGCTCCAAGGTCTCTGCAGAGCGGAAGCCTGGGAGCCAAATGGTGTGCAGGCCCTGTGTGCGTGGTCTGCGTGGGATCGCGGTATCAGGTACAGAGAAGAGACGCCACTAGTTAAATTCCACCCAGTTTCCATAGAAATCAAAAGACACACATTTACGTGTTTGCCACACATGTGAGGGACAACCTGCCAAGGGTGGTCGGCTCTAGGGCGGAGGCCTTGGGTGGGTGATGGCCAGGAGAGGCTTGCTGACGCTCCCAAGATGCCCACTGAAGAAAGCAACAGAGGCGCTCTTCAAGCATTCACTGTGACCACAAGCCCAGGGGCACCACAGATGTCGCATGAGCACTGAGTAGGGACCCACGACGGGGCTCCTGTTCTTGCTCCCCTCTCACAGACAGGACGCTGAGGACACAGAAGATGCCTGTCCAGCTGGGGGAGGGGCATCTGGGGCAGGACGCTGCACCATGACGCTTCCTCACGGTCTTCTTCAATATTCTGTTTTGTTTTTGGTGAATATATGCACAGCAAGACCCACTCCCATCCCACAGTCCTAGACAACACAAGTTACATTCCCCACGTCAAGTCGACACCCACACGGCTTCTGCCCCAGCCGCTTCATCTCTGTGCCATGACTCTCTGACCAACCGCCCCCCCCCCCCCGCCATCTGTGCTTTGAAATCACTGTCGCCCCTTTGGTCTTATGGAGATGGTTGGTTCTTTTGTGTTTAACACAATACTCCAGGCAGACCATCGTTCCTCTCTGGGCTGGCCTGTCACTTAAAGGGGACTTCAGGGAACTGTTGCAATTCAGGGTTTGAAGAGCAGCCCAGGCCCCTGGTCTCAGGGGCCTCCACTCAGTGGGTCTGGTAAGTCTGGGTTCTTCAAGAATTTCAAGTCCTGTCATGTATTTTTTAAAAACAGAGAAACCAAACTCCTAATTTCATTGCTGATAGGAACAGCCAGCTCTCAGATGGCCTGAGCCAGCCCTGCTGTGAAGGCCTCCCTTGATCCGGGCCTTCCTGTCCGTGGGCACGGGGAGCAGTGCCAGCCTGCTGCATCCACTGGTTCTCAGGGCACTCAGAAGAACTGATCACACACAGGACCCCGCCGCCTAAGACCAGGGCTGGGAGGGAGGAGGGCAGAGGGGACCTGGCATGGAGGAGAGGCCTGGCAGGGAAAGCCCCCAGCCTGAAATCCCACCCTCCAGCCACAAGACATCTTCCGCAGAGCTCCAGGCCGAGAACACACCTAAAGGTATCCCGCCCAAATCAGGTACCAGCTCTGGAGGTCCATCGCAGCACAATGGTGCTTGGCAATCTCTGGCAGGTGGCACTGTCAGCAACGTCAGTGTCCCCAGAGACCAGATAGTACTGAGCTGTGGGTTCTCCTCGCTGTCCCTCCCCCAGCACCTTCCTGCACACTTCATGCTGTTTATCTGGTCAGTGTTACCTCAGGGAAAACATGCCTGCAGCCCACACAGTACCCACAAGGTAAAGAAAGGGGTACGTGAGCTTCCGGCGTCACAGAGGCTGCCCCTTCTGGCTCAGTGGGCCCGGCTCGGATGTAGGACGTGTGGGTGGCTGCAGGGACACAGTAGACCTGCAGAGGGAGCACTCACACCCCCAGGCAGCTGCTCCCGTACACCTCAGCCTCCGAGGTGGCGGGGGTCGCGGAGACCAGCAGCTGCCAACAGTTTCATTGCAGCAAATTAAGAAAATGGTGGTTAATCCCAACTAGAGAGGGACGAGGAGCCCTTCAGAGAAGAGAGTGATGGAACCCAGTGGGGGTCTGGCTCGGCAGCCCGGCGGGGGATCCATGCTCGCCCCACCAAGGTCACCAGTCCTCTTCCACAGCGGTCCAGCTGCTCGGTGTAGTGGTTTCACCGAAGCCAGACGCCTCCTCTCAGGCCTGAGAACCAGACAGCAAAAACATACCCACGAAAGCAACCACAGCCCTGTGCCTGTGGGAATGGGTGCTGGCCTGCCATCGTGGTCCCTCAGTGACAGGCTTGAGCACAAGCAGCAGGTCCCAGTATGAACACAGCCCCCACCAGCTGCGATGAACATTCACAAAGCCATAACGCATCTGGAGACACACACACATTAAATCCAACAGAACAGAGAGGTCATGGGACTCACCGAGACCCATCGGTAAGCAAAGGCCATCAAGATGACACCATACCCAGCCCAAGGGTCCCTGTGGGCTCTGGTTGCAATGTCAGGGCTAGACCCAGTCCCCCAAGGTGACTGTGCCCCATCCAGAGCACAGTCCCTGGACTTCTTCATGGACTCCCAGCTAGTTTCGCTACCAGTAAAAGGAGGCTGAAAATAAGAGACAGGCTTAGCACCATGCCTCATGTGTTAGGTGGTCAGCCCACAGCAGGGAGTAAAGGGTAAAGCTTCCTGCCCGCAGCCCCTTGGGGGGCAAGGCAGCGGCCTGCACTCGCCTGACCACAAGCCCAGCCTCAGAGGGCTGCTGTGAAGACCCACTGTCAGAAAGCATGGGACTGCTGGTCTAGTGGCAGCCGCTAATATGGTCCACGCGTGAATTTATCTCACCATTCGCTTCTGTGGCCTTCCAGTTCAGTGGTTCTTAATCAGGGGTGGTTCTGCTCCCCTGGGGGTAGTTTGCAATGTTGGCGGACACTTCGGCCGTCACACCTAGGGCTGTGCAACGTCCCACAATGCCCGAGACGGAGCCCACAACAAGGGAACTATGTGGCCTCCAATGACACACCCGCCCCACTTGACTGAGTTTACGACAGTTGTGGATTTACACCGACGCAGCCCTGATGAGCCTCGTCATGTCAGTATCCCTCCACATGCTCTGTGGTCCCTACCACCCAACATCCTCACCATGGCTCTACCTCAGGCCTCCAGCCCCCCTCTGCTGCCAGGTTCTGGCCTGATCCTCTCACGCCTCTTTTGGGGCCAGCTGGGTGACCTTTCACCCTCCATAGCACACATGGCCCACCTCTCCCGCAGCCCCCATGCCAGCTCTCAGCCTGCTCCCAGGCCAGGATGTGGCAGTGTGGCACCAGGCGGTGGCCGGGGTCAGTGTCAGGACCCACATCCCCATCTGAACTGCTCATTAGTAAATCAGCCAAGGTTTACCTCGGCCATACACTAACCTGGGCCCGGCACCTTCCCAAGCGCCCTGTGAGCCCCTTCCCCAGACTGAGAGTCCCCAGCACTGCCCCTGTTCACACGCCACCCCCAGTGGATGGAAAGCACCGGAAGGGGTTCCTGCATCCCGTGGGAGTGGTGAGCAGGATACTCGTGGCCCCCGCCCCCCAGGCCTCGTGAAAAGTCCCTACACGTGGGAAGGCAGCAGCACCTGAGCTGACAGGCAGGTACGGTGGAGGTGGGGCCGAGTTCCTGGACACAAGCTTGCTGTCCCCATCTCCAAGTCTCCGGGAGAAGAGTGTGGACACCAGTGTAACCAAGAGGGGCAGGCTCACTGACACCCTGCTCTTCACAGCCGGGGGCGGGATTCTTGGCTGAATGACCCGGCGAGCCAGTCCGAGACCAGCCTCAGAGACATAGAGACCCGGCTCACCATCCCAGCCATGCACCCGAACAACTCCCTTCACCCCTAGCCTCGTCCCCGGCTACAAAGTGAGGATCTTGCCAGCCCGGTCCTGGGAGGGTGACAGGCCCTCGCCCCAAGGGCACATGCCCTGGGCCTCGGGGGAGGGAGTGTTCCATAAACTCTCACACACACCAGGGTCCAGATGCACCGTGGGGAGGTGCTACTGGTGCAGGGCAGAGCGGGTCTCCATCCTGGCTCCGCCACCTACTAGCTAAGCACCAGGCACCACCTCTACCCTCGGCGCCTTGTGTTCTCGGCTATAAAACAAGGAGAACAGTTCTTCCCCAAACCTGGGGACAAGGATCACGTGAGAGGGGGGCCGGCCCAGGCTGGAAGGCCAGCAGCCCTCGGCGATGCCTGCCTGCCTAAACGCCCACCTGCCCACCTTTCTCCCTCCCACCCTGGAAAGCGCGCTCACCATCTGGCCCACACAGACGCTGGCCGCCTCCATCATGGCTCCGTCCGCAATGGAGCGTGCCGACTCCTTCTCGATGTGGGGGTTTCCTGAGAGCAGCTCCTCGACCACCTACAGGGTATGGGACAGAGACCCACCTCAGACTTGGGCCTCCCCCAAGGCCTCGGGGTGGGGGGAGGAGCCAGGGCAGGCAAGGAAGCACACTTTACATTTCGGTACTCTTCCAAGGTGATCCGGCCGTCGCTGTCTGAGTCGTACATGTGGAACAGAACTGGGGGGAAGGGGCTCGGTCAGGCTGGGCCCAGCCGTCAGCCACGCGCCCTGCCTTCCCCCTAGAGCCCTGCACGGAAGGGGGGCCCGGTCTCCCTGCTTCCCCCCTCCTTCCTCCGCAGCTGCACTGCCCCCGGCATCTGCCAAGTGCAGCAAAAGACCCCAATAACGAACCCAGAATGCCAAAGCCATAGGGATGAGAGCACAGGCCACGAGGCCACCCTAGATGGGTGACCCTGGGCAAGTGACCTAGCATCACTGAGCCTCAGTTTGCCCTTCTGTAAAACAGAGCCACAGTTTTGATGTAGTTGCATCCAGAGAGCCAGAGCGAGTGGAGCTAGGACCTGGTGGCCGCAGGGTACACACTGAGCATGTGTTACACGAAAGGACCCAGGACCTGCCCACCACGGGGTGCATGGCAAACGCGTGCAACACGAGAGAACTGAGCACCCAGGGGTCACACAACACCCAGTCAGCATGCGTGACACAAGAGAATCAAGGACACCAAGCCAAGTTAGTGTGGTTTTGTTAACTGTCCCTCTGGACAGATGCCCGAGGGCAGCCAGTCATCACGGCCTGGTGGGCCCATCACGGCCCCATGGCCATTGCTGGAGCTCTGGCCTTCCTCCAGTTATCTCACTCTCAGTGACCACTGTGTGGGCCCTTACTGACATCCAGTGTTCCCCAGCCACCAGCCAGCACCAGCCAGAGCCCTAGAGCCAAAGGGGAGGTGTCCCCAGCCCTCACAGATGGGCCTCAGGGAGCCCGGGCCGGCTCTCCCAGTTCCCCACACTGGCATTTACGGCACGCTGACCAGCCACCAGCCCTGTGCATAGACATCTTCTCATCCCCACACACCCACTCCCAGGGCTGCCCTGAGCCCCACCCAGATAGGGCTGAAGTTCACATTAGTTAAGGTATCTGCCAGCCACTGGGGGGAGCCAGGGACTGGACTGGAGTTTGTCCTCTGAGTCAGCTGGGATACCACGGCCCCAGCGACCCCGACCCCGACCTCAGAGCGGAGCAGCAGCTGGCTGGAGCCTGACAGGAAGACCATTCCCACCGGCCCCACAGACACATTCCAGAGCTCATGCAGCCAATCCCCCCACCCTTAACATTTTCCTGAGATGAGGCTGAGCCTCGGGGTGAGGCAGGGAGACATGCGTCATGGAGTCATGGGAGAGGCCATGGGGTGGGATGTGGGCCATGCTTGAGGCCAGGGTCACACGACACACTCAGGCACCAAGGGAGCCAGGGGCAGCATCTCGAGGCCCCACACAGGCTGTCTCGTCCGTGAGCCCTGCTGCCAGCTCACTTTCAGGGAGCACCTACTGTGCACCAGGCTGGGACCAGCCAGGCCGTGAGACCCTGCATAGCCAGCGTCACTCTCTCATGTTCCAGGCAAAGAATTGGAGGCTTAGCCTTAAGCCGACAGAGCCACTAAGTGGACGGGCCAGCTTTGAACCAAAGGCCCTGCTCTTGTCACATCACCCCATGCCCCTTCTATACCTCAGGTCCCTCCAAACCCCCGACTGCTCAGAAATGCTCATGACAAGGGGAGGTGGGGGATCCGCCTGGCACTGCCAACAGGGGCCACGCTAAGGACGCAGGGCAGGGCCCTCCCCGCAGCCCTGGGGCAGGGCCCTCAGGGAGACGCACATCTCAGCTTCTCCTTCCTGCACAGCTGCACCTGTTCCTCATCCATGGAGATGTCAATGGGCCGGAAGTAGGACATGATGGTCAGGAAGTCCTCGAAGTTGATCTCGTCAGCCAGGCCGCTGGGCCCCTTGCGCAGGTTCCTGCGGGAGCCACCCAGACAGGAAGAGGACAGGAAGATAAACAGCCAGACCTCGTCTTTTCACTACCCACAGCTCACACAGACTCACCCACCAGGGCTGCTCTGGCCTTGGGTTCCCAGGAGGCTGACATCCAGCTCCCGCCCAACCAGCACTCACGTCTGGTGGGAGATGGACAACTGCACAGCTATGTGACAAGGAGCAGGACTGAGGCCTGCAGGTGTGTGTGATGGTGCCCGGGGAAGCGCTCCCATAAGTGAGGAAACTGAGGCAATGAACAGCCCAACCCTCACCCAAGATATGTGAAGGCCTCTTGTCCCTTTCCGCTATGACAGAGGTCAGCACACTATGGGCCACGGGCCACATGGGTCTGTGCCTGTTTTTGTCTGGCCCCCCAAGCTAAGACGGGGACTCACATTCAAATAGTTGAAAATAAATGCAAAGAACAGCAGTTTTTCATGACGTGAAACAACGTACAACTCTAATTCCAACATCCATCACTAGCACCTGCTTGGACACACGCACGCCCATCTGATCGATCCCTGTTTGTGCACCTTTGGGGCGGAGCTGAGTTAACTGTGACAGGCAGAACGGCACAAAGCCGTCAGTATTTAGTCTCTGGCCAGAAAAAGTCCACCAACCCGACCCCATCACAGTTCAGCTTTCTAGTATAGTGATTAGCTGCAGGCCACTCCGAAACATTTTGTGCTAGTCTGCCGATGGCCGAAGAGGCTCTGACGGAGGAGGGCGGGGCAGCGGCGGCTCCGTGGTACAAGTCTGGCCTTCCATGCAGAAGACCTGGGTTCGACTCCCACCAACGCACCTCGTGCACGGTCACCGCCCGTCCCCAGAGGAGGCCTGCACGTTGCTGTGATGCTGAACTGGTTTCGCCAGAGCTTCGCTTCCAGATTCAGGACTAGGAAGAAATACTTCTGAACCTAAGGCAGCGGAGACCCAGTGGGGTCCAGGCAATCACCGATTTCACACCTGAATCCCTGCGGTCCTCCTCTCCTCTCCTGGTCCAGTGTCCATCTTGTCTAGCTACCTTCCAGAGCCTCTGCAGAAAGCAGTGACACTCAACGCCCTCCCCCAGCTCGCTGGTGAACCCCACTCCCCACCCAGTCTCTCCAGGTCCAGTCACGCCCCCTTCCTGCCACCTGCCCCTCTAGGCCTCTGCAGGCTCGCTGCCCCAGCGGTGACCTGTCTCCCTGTCTGCCGTCCCCACAAGCCAGCCTCCAGGACTCTGGCCTGACTCACAACCTCCAAGCAAGAAGGAGGGTCTCTTTGCCTCCACCTGGCCACCCACGGCCTAGGGCTTCCTGCTCAGGGTACACCTTCCAGTCAGCCAACTGGACGGTGGTTCAGCCCAGCCCACTTCCCCATGCCCTGCCCTTGTAGAAGCAGCCTCTCACTCCTAACACCCATCAGACACTGAGTTTCACCCTAGTTGGCTCAGGGGCTCAAGGCCCACTGACTAGAGCCAGAATCCAGCTCCCACAGTGACAGCCAGCCCAGCTACCGGGGGTCGGATCTCTAAGGAAACCACACCAGCACGATGCAGAGACCTCAGAGTGGGTCACCAGTGCTCCCGTGTGGCAGGCCCCACAATGAGGGTACAGGCATGTCTCACCCATCCCGGAAAACTCCCTGTGCCCGCCAGTCCACTCGTGCTCCCTCCAGAGGGCATGAGGAGCGAAGCCCGGTCTGGACACAGCCCAAGGTCAAGCAGCACTTGCCACTACCGTTATCAACAAGGATGCTCTGCCTCAGTTTCCCTGCACTGTGGGCGGGCCCCCGCACAGCGGGCCAACCACTGCAGCTCTACTGCGAAGGGCGGGCCCCAGCGTGGACAGAGTCAGCCTCACAACAGGTTCAGAAGTGCATCCCATCCTTCTAGAAAGATGCCCCAGAGGCCACGTGTCCGTGTTGATGCACTCAAGCCCCAGACACATATGTTCACGTCAAAATACGCATATCCATGCTCAGGTTCCAGACATGCTCACACCCACATGTACATGTCCATGTTCGTGTGCTCAAGCCCCAGACACATATGTTCACGTCAAAATACGCATATCCATGCTCAGGTTCCAGACATGCTCACACCCACATGTACATGTCCATGTTCGTGTGCTCAAGCCCCAGACACATATGTTCACACCCAGATACATGTGTGTATGCTCACATCCCAGACATGCTCACACCCAGATGTATGTGTCCACGTTCATGCCCTCAAGCTCCAGACACACATGCTCACACTCAGACGCACACTTCCACACTCAAGCTCACACTCCAGATACACATGCTCACACCCACATGCACACGTCCACACTCACGTTCTCAGCAGACTCCAGCACCCTCACAGTGATGCATGCTTCCACGCCTGCACACTCACACCCAGATATCCACATCTACTCACGTATCCTCACACCCAGATGCATTCCTGCCCACAGCTCACACCCTAGATGTCCACACCCACATGCTCGCACCCAGATGTCTGTGTCCAAACCCACACGCTCACACCCTAGACATCCACACCCATGCGCTCACACCCAGACATCCATACCCACATGCTCACACACAGACATCTGTGCCCAAGACTGCACACTCACACCCGAGACGTCCATACCCACATGCTCACACCCAGACATCCACACCCACATGCTCACACCCAGACATCGGTGTCTAAGCCCACATGTTCACACTCAGACATCCACACCCACACACACACTCAAACGTCCACACTCATGCACTCACACCCACTCAGATGTGTGTGTCCAAGCCTGCATACTCATATCCAGATGTCCACACCGACATGCTCACACCTACTCAAACACAGACATCTTTGCCCAAGCCCACATGCTCATACCCCAGACGTGAGCCCACAAATGCATTCCCGCACACACTCCCACACACACCCTCCCAATTCTTCAACATCTTCCTGTCAACACCTCCAACTCAAGATCCCAAAAGCCTATGTCGACTCCTCATCAGGAGCCGTACCTCTGTACGGGTGCCCACCCCGGCTGCCTGTGCACCCCCTTCCATCCCGGATACAGACCAGGGCCAGCTCTTGGGACCTTGCTTCCTGAGCGCTGACCACCACGTCTTCCAGATGCCTTGAGGCAGACCCAGGATTAAGGAGGAGGGGTGCTGAGCTCCAGTCTCACCTCTGCCACTGGTAGTGAGGCCTCCAGTGAGGTCACTGAGACCCCGGGACCTCCCCTCACTGCAGTGCGTGATAGCTGCTAAGCAGACTCCCATGTTTTGGACCTCTCAGCTCCACCCAGCCTCAGCCCTTCTCTGGCTCCTCTGTCAGTACCTCGTGGCATCTCTGGCCAGCCGTTTAGTGCTCATCATCTCCATTCACCAGCCACCCCCTCCCCCGCTTCCAGCCCCATCCCCACCCCCATCCAGGCAGCTGCCACGGCACTGACCCTGACTCATGGTGACCCCATGTGTGTCACGGTGGAGCTGTTTTACAGGGTTTAGTGGCTGAGTTTTTCAGAATTAGACTGCCAAGCTTTCTGCCAAGACATGTCTGAGCAGACTTGAACCTCCAACCATTCAGTTAGCAGGTGAGTGCTAACCATTTGTGCCAGCCGTGGACTCCACTCTCCACCTGGTCTCCTTAAAAACCTGTCAGTGCCTCCCTACCACCGCTGTCCCCCGAGGTTCAAGTCAAGCCCCTCCTGCTGGTTTCTGGGGTAGGTATTCCATGATGGAGCCCCCACCTTCCTCATGGTTGGCCTCCTCTTGACCATGCTCTTGGCACCACAGTGCCTTTGCACATGCTGTTCCAGGTGCCCAGAGCGCCTCTCTGCGCACTGCCTGGTGCCACCACCCAGTCCCCCAGAGCACCTCCCTCTGCACTGTCACACTAACTCTTGTTCACCCTCCTGGTGTTGACCCCAGGCCCTGAGGAAACCCTCTGTGTCTTCTGGAGCAACCCCAGGCCCCCACCACATGAACAGCAATCGCTCAGGGTATCATACATCTCCCTGGAGGGTGCCACAGTGCTGGCAGAACCAGAGGCGAATGGTCCAGGCTGGCGTGACTCGAAACCCGTCGGGGACGTTGCAGCAGTCTCCTCACCACACCATGCCCACTGCCTGCCTGCTTCTTTCAGCCTGTTCTCCCTCATGCTCAGTGCCCTCTGCAGACACGGGACGTCGGCAAACAGGCTGACCGGCCCCAGTGAGCCGGCAGCCTGGGGAATATGGTTCCACGACCCCCACCTCCACCCCCTGCGTCTTCCATCCCAACACTGGGAGGGATGCAACACTGGGCATTTGGAGACCTGGACTCTGGTCTGAGCTTCAGCTCTGGACGCTGGTCACAGTGCCTAAGGGCTCCGTGCCTCAGTTTCTCCATCTGTAAACAAGGGTGACAGCCATCTGTATGAAGTAGCCCTTTAGCAGTGTCAGTCATCTCAGCACATCCTCAGGCAATGTGCCGAGGCAGATGCTGTTATTATTTCTGTCTCCCAACGAGGAAACTGGGGCCTGGAGACAGTGCCAAGGTGACCCCAAAGGATGCCTGTCCAGCCAGCACTCAGACCCCTGTGGTCCCCTCTCCAACTGCAGCTAAATCTAGGGATCCACTTCTAATGAAGGGAACACGGCAGAGGGATGGGATGTGACTTCCCAGATTAGGTTACAAAACGACTGCTCCATCAGGGTGTGATGGCCAGAATACATATAGAGTAGGCAGGATACATATGTAAGAAATACATGCTACCAGTTAACAGACAGACCATCCAATCAACAAGTGAGCAAAGCCCCTGAACAGATGTTCCACCTAAGAGGCTACACAAATGACCAGAAGCACAGGAAAAGACGCCCAACATCGTTAGTCGCTAAAACCCAAAACCAAACCCCTGCTGTTGAGTTGATTCCAGCTCAGAGCGACCCTCGTTGGGGTCCCAACCTGCAAACCTCTGAGAAGCAGACCGCTTCATCTTTTTCCCGTGGAGCGGCTGGTAGGTTCAAACCACCAACCTTTTGGTTAGCAGCCGAATGCCTTAGCCACGACACTACCAGAGCTCCTTTCATTAGCCATGAGGAAAAAGCCAATCAAAACCACAGTGAGATCCCACCTCATCTCCACTAGGATGGCACTGATCAGAAAAGCAGGAAATAACAAGTGTGGGCGAGGGTGGGGAGAAACCACACCCTCCCGCATCCTCACTGCTGGTTGTTGTTGTTGTTATGTGCCGTAGAGTCGGACCCAACTCATAGCGACCCTTCCTTGTGTTTCCGAGGCAGTATCACTTCGGAAGTAGATTGCTCAACTTTCCTTCTGAGGAGTGGCTGGTGGGTTTGAACTGCCAGCCTGCTGGTTAGCAGTCAAGTGCCTTAGGCACTATGCT